TTGATTCTTCCCAGCCATGAGCATGGTATGTTTTTCCATTTGTTAACATTTTCAGCTATTTCTTTCCTTAGAGTTTCATAGTTCTCTTTATAAAGATCTTTCACATCCTTTGTTAGGTAAACTCCTAAATATTTCATCTTCTTTGGCACTACTGTGAATGGGATAGAGTGCTTGGCTGCTGTTGGTATATATAAAGGCTACAGATTTATGAGTGTTGATTTTGTAACCTGAGACACTGCTATATTCCTTGATCACTTATATGAGTTTTGTAGTAGAATCCCTGGTGTTTTCCAGATATATGATCATGTCATCTGTGAAAAATGAAAGTTTAATCTCTTTTGACCCTATATGGATGCCCTTAATCACCTTTTCTTCCCTAATTGCGATGACTAAAACTTCCATTACAATATTAAAGAGCAGTGGAGACAATGGGCACCCTTGCCTAGTTCCTGATCTGAGTGGAAATGATTTCAGTTTAATTCCATTCAATACAATATTGGCTGTAGGTTTGCTGTAGATGGCCTCTCTCAGTTATTTCTTCCTTCTTAATCTCAAACTTTTAATTTCCTTTTCTTATTGCATTAAAACTAGGACTTCTGGTATGATACTTAACAGGAGTAGTGCGAGGACAGCTATTACTTTTTATATAAGACAATGGAATCTACTCTTTGAGGCTTTTTATTTTATTTTTTTTTAGTTTTTTGAGACAGAGTTTCACTATGTCACTCTCGGTAGTGTGCCATGGCATCACAGCTTACAGCAACCTCTAGTTCTTGGGCTTAAGCGATTCTCTTGCCTCAGCCTTCCACGTAGCTGGGACTATGGGTGCCTGCCACATGCCTGGCTATTTTTGTTGTTGGTGGTGTAGTTGTCATTGTTGTTTTAGCAGGCTCGGGCTGGGTTCACATCCTCCAGCCCCGGTGAATGTGGTAGGTGCCGTAACAATTGCACTTCAGGCACCGAGTCCTATTTTCTCTCTGTTTAAAGCTGATGTTTATTTTCTGCCAGCCTTATTTCCATATTGTTTAAGAGCTTGTGGAAGAACAATGAAAGACCAGTCAGTGGTGGCTCCTACCCACACAGCAGCCTGAGCAGTGGGAACTGCAGACCAGTCTCCCTGGCAGGCTGGGCACTCCAGTCTTCAGTGGGGACTGGCAGAGTAGGCACAGAAGGCACCAATCTGCAACAAACTCAGGAGCTGGAGCCGTCTATTCACCCTGAACTTCCTCCTTGGTCATAGCTTTCTTGGCAGCATTCCACTCTTTCTTTTCAATCTCTTGAAGATCTCAATAGAAGTAGAGAGCAGACATGGCCTCCCGCGGGTGTTCACGGGAGATGATGCCAGACATCTACTACATCAGAGGCAGGTAATATAAGGTGCCTCTGTGAAAGGCTAATGGTCAGCCCTGGGATCAGTAACCACTAGAAGACACTAGTGGTCTGAATTCTGCCTGGACCTGGTTAGTGAAGGTTCTGGGAGTGAAGTGGTTTTGGGGCAGCAGCAAAGTTCAGCACAGCTCTCTGACCAGTATTCCTGGAGGATGCGACACTGACAGCTGCAGGGTTTTCAATGGCAACAATGACTCGAGTTGCCAACAGAAGCTTCTCCCAGGTCCTCTTCAGATTTATGATGGAGATGCTTAGGTGAGGGCAGAAGGATTTCACACTTGAGCTAGTTGATACAAATGGAAATTCTTCTAAAATGTTGTGAGTATTTGGCAGTGAGAACTATCAAACGCCAGTCATAGAGGGAAGCTCTCTACTGGTGTTAGTGAAAATCCTGCCTTTAAGGTAGCGTACTTCCGACACTCAGAAGTTCATTGGCCAAGGCTGACCTTCACTCTAAGCTTTAACAGTGTGCAGTGAGGCTTCTTTTAAATGAAGACAACAGGATCTACATAATAAGGCTCTTTTGAGGCTAAAGGGATTAGTACATGTAGAGTATCTAGATGAGACCTGGGTAAATGAAGAAATACATTACTGAGCGCTTCCTCTGCCTAAATGACCTCTTGACTTGGCAGTGACTTCTTCACCACCACACATTTCATGCAGGATACTCAGGTCAGGTGAGAGAGCTGGGATTTGGGGGACAGGAGATTCAGGTCTAATAAGTTGTCCTCACCAATAGGTTCCTGGCCAAACGTAAGCATCAAGCCTCATAAGGCCAGGAAATGAGAGTAGAAATACTCTCTTTATTATTCTCAGTTTAATTATAGCTGAGAGCGGAGGCCAGAACGTCTTTCTTTACTTCGTTTTCTACTTACCTACCCGCCATAAGTCGGCCTCCAGACACACTTGAACTTTCCTTGGGAAACAGAACCCCAAAGCCCCTCAAGGGTGCAAACCAGTGTGTGTATTAATGTTGCCCGAGGAGGAACTGAGGGAACAGAGAGCTGAGTCCTGGACCTGAGAGCCCCAGAACTATTCTGAAGCTCCTGCAAGGTCTCCACGTGGGGAGTGGTGGCTCAGCTGTCAGGAGCTCTGGACTTCTGTGTGACTGCATGAGCCTGGAGGCTGGAGTTGCGCACAGGAGCTCGGCTCCCTCCCTACACGGCCCAGAGTCTCTATTTCAGGGGTTGTTTGGCAAACTTACCTCTTTTAAATTCAACTTGATGGAAAGAGTGCTACACGTGTCACTCTGTGTTCACGTACTCACAGCCTGGGTGTCCGCGGGTGGTGAGGCTGGGAGCCGGCAGACTGCACCCTCCGCCTCAGTTCTCCTCCAGCGTGGGCAAAAGCCGAGGGCCTTCCAGTTCCCAAGATGGTTTGGGAGTAGCTGCTTTATCCTCCTGGGCAGCAGGGACTTGGAGGGGTCTGGAAGGGGTCTGGGAGGAGGCTGGGAGAGGGAAGGCACCGAGCACACTACTGGAGCCTTGGCTCTCAAGCCCCTCCCCCAGCCGGGCGCCCCTCCCCCCGCCCCGCCCTTTCCTTCCTAGAGGCGCCGCCTGGGCTGACTGTCTCTACACTGCTTTTCTCTAAGGTTGCTGTTCTGTTTTGTCCCCATGTTGTACAGAAGGTACACATCTAGCCCACATCTCCTGGTGGGTGTTCTAGTGCCCAGACTTAATGTCACACTAAATGGGGGAAGTATACTTTTGAGTCATGAAAAGTATGACTTTTTCTTTTTGCTTTACTCCTTCCTTACTTTTGCAAGCGTGGGAAGCTGGCAGACCTGCCGGCCATATGTCTCAGGTTCCCTGGGCCACTGGCTGGCACATTGCTGGGTGGAAAACACTTTGTTCCGCATAGAACCTTTGTAAGAAGCATGACCTTGGGGGTGCTGTGTGAAGTTCACGTGGATAGTTCTGGGCCCACGTTCCTGGAGAAGGGGTCCTCTACTCTGCCCAAGTCTGCACCAGGGAGTCCCTTCTCCCTGGCCTCCTGTGTGTACTCCTGCTGCCTTGTCACCAGCTGCATGAGCCTCCAGCATTCCTGAAGTGCATCTGCCTGGGGTGGACGACACATTCAAAGCTGGCCACTGTTCACCGAGCACCAACTTTGTGCTGGGGACGAGTGCACATGACCTCCAATCCTGGCCATGGTTCTGCCAGAAGGACTCTGTCAAGCTGGTTTTACAGTGTGGAGGCTGAAGGTCACACAGGCACCTTACCTTGCTGAGGTCACACAGCTGGCTCTAAAGCTCCCTCCTCCTACCACACTGGCTGCTGTGGGCCTGGGTGTGGCAGCAGGCAGCAGTTACTCACAAGGAGAAGAGGGAATTGTTGAATCCGAAGTCCAGGAAACATTGGCAGAGCCAATTTTTTCCTCTTTGCTTTAAAAATCTGCATTCTGAGACTGATAATCCTCACCCTAGAATCAGCATAACTGGGAAGCTTTTTTGCTCTGGGGTCTCCTTTCCCATGGACAAAACTGAGGGTAATAAAAATAAGAGCAGGACTTTCTGAAGGGGATGAAGCATGAATGCCCAGAAAATATTTACTGTTTTGAAAGCACTACTAACTGGAGGGCTGTTTATGCTAATTTAAGTGAAATGCAAGATGGCCCAAGATACCCACAGGTGTTGTAAGAGAATAAAAACAGCAGCCAAGTTCAGTAGGAGCTTAACTCAACCCCCTAGCTGCCACCCTGTGCAAACACTGCTTTTCCTTGGCTTGGAGGAGACGGTGCACCAGAGAGTAAGTCTCTCTCCAGCCTCTAACATCCACCTGTTTTAGAAGATGTGAGTGGTGTTTGCTTTACCCAGATAGGAGGACATTGTGTGTATTCCCACCCTGGGGCCATTCAGAATGCCTGTGTGGATGATGCAGCTCATGCATTTCCCCAAGAGCGGCTGCTCCACCTGTTGTGGTGTTTCTAGTCACCACAGGACAGACACAGCCTGTTGCATTAGGGCTGAGAAAGACAATTTTAACAGTTTGCTCATATATATATCCCCACAGTTATACACACACACCCCTCCACCGGGAAATAGCAGAGACCGGCAAGCATTGTGAACTGGACTGGCGGAGGAAGTGGGAGGGCAGTTCCATTGAGAGAGGCTCCTCCTCCAGCCCAGGACAGAGTATTTACGTCTAGGAATGGAATCTTTGGCTAAGAGGATTTTGTTAGAACTGGAAGAAAGGTGATTTGTGCTTGGCTTATCTGTTATTTTCACATTTTGAGGTCATATGGCAATAAAACTTATAGAGGGAAAGGAATTCAAGACCACAGAATGACTGTCATTCCCTCTGCACTGAGAAAGGAGAGAGAAAGGCCTTTGGTTTGAGACCAGAATCTGGTCTAGCCATGAGCTCCAAAGTCAGCAGATGTGTAACTGGACAGGGCCCCAGACGTCTCCAGCTTTGGTTTTCTCAGACATAGCAAACCGCAGATAAGAACACGTATTTTACATGGCTGATGTGAGAATCAAATACAGTAATTTGTATGGAAGTATTCCATATGATGCAGCAGACTTTAGTAATAGTATTATATGAAATCATGTAAAATCATCTGTTTTGGAGGTGAAAACATTTGAACATTAGCCATTTTGTATGATTCAGTCTAATAGTTACCATATATGCCTGATGCCTTGTGGACTCCAGTGCTGCTCTGCTTCCTCCTTTAGGCCTGAGCTTTGATCCTCACAGCCAACAGGCTCTTTGTAGCTGACAGTGCCAGGCTTATGGCTTTCAGCTGAATCTCTTTCTAGTAACTGCCCTCAGTGAACAAGAAACTCACTTTTGGCCATCTCACCTTCCCAGAGGCAGTCACCAGCAGGAGGCTGGCCGATGGGGGAATAAATACTTGGCCCCCTTACCAATATAGTTGGGACAACTCTGAATGGCCATCTTGGCTCTGGAGTTGCTGGGACCATTTGAGGCTGCTTTAAGGTGGAGCTCCTGGGAAACCTGACCACCAGAAGCAATCACTGAATATTTTCAGAATGATAAGTGACCTGCTGGGAATCTGGGTGCCTTGTGATGCTTCATCCAGTTGGCAAGTTCTTCCTTGTGACATGTCCAGCCCTAGACCCAGTGCTGTGGAGGTGGATGATAAGACAGTTTCTCTGCTCATGCCCTTACACCTTAATCTGGGAGCTAAGAAGTGGGACACTAATAGAACAGGACTGTACCAGCAGTTGTTTATTTATAGCAAGTTTTATTGCTGAAAAAGAATACTCATAATCATCAACAGTGTAAGTTGAAGAAGAGTTTTCCTTCAGGAGCAATGGTCATGTTTTTATGAAACCACGTTCCACATCCTTCCTCCTCCCACCACCCAGCATATTTAGTTAAAAATAAACGATATATGGATACAACATAATACAAGGCAAATGCATCAACTGGTCGTACCTTAATACTTTAAATTCATTTATGAGGTTTTCAGGAAAAGGATTGCCTGGGGTAGTGGACGGGGCTCTGTGGCTGTGAGAAAACAATTGAGATTATCTCCAGGGCAGGGCAGGAGCTGTTTTAGGTAAAGAGAGACCAGAGTCCAGGAAATGTATGTTCAAGCATGTGTGTAGTGTTTACTATGTGTCAGTTACTAATTCGGTTCTTACATTAGTCAGTGTTTGCTGTGTGACAAACTACCACAAAATCTCAGAGGCAGACAATAGTAAATATTTATTGTCATGTCCACATGTGTCTTCAGGTTGCAGATCTGGGTGGATATAGCTGGGTTGGTTCTGTCCCATGTGTTCATTCCAGGCTCAGGGGCTTTCTGGAACAGGTGGAGGTTGGAGGCTCTTAAGGTAGAAATAGAAACATGTGATGCTTCTTAAGGTCTACAAGTGGTTCTCAACCTTCCTAATGTCTCCTAATGCTGCAACTCTTTAATACAGTTCCTCATGTTGTGGTCACCCCCAACCACAAAATTATTTTTTTTGCTACTTCATAACTGTAATTTTTACTATTATGAATTGTAATGTAAATATCTGATATGCAGGATGTATTTTCATTGTTATAAAGGGGTCTAAGGTATGAAACTTGCATATTGTTACTTCTCCCCATATTCCACCAACCTGATGAAGTCATATAGCCAAGCTCAACATCAATAAGGTGGAGAGGTATACTCCCATGGAGGTCGAGAAGGGAAGCAAGTGAATATGTGTGGATCAACAATCTAATACCTCATAATCTCCACTATAGAAGGCATCTCTATTATCATCATCTCCAGATTATAGATGGGAAATTTGAAGTACATAGAGGTCAAGTGCTTGCTGAAGGTCACACCAGTAATTTTTGACAGAGTCATCCGAGCTCTATAGTCTATTCTCTTAACACTTGAAGGAAGGGAATGGCCCCAGGTCAAGAGATATGGTTTGTATTCTGCTGGTTTTAAATGCCATCACTAAGATCATAGGGATAATTGTCAGAGAATTGTAGACATGGATAGACGTAATTCAAAGATTGCCTGCATATA